GAAGGTTCATTACTGTCTTTATAAAGCCCAGCTACTCAACCTCAACCGGAGCTAGCTTACAGGTTCACAGCGTGCATGTAATTTTTAATATTATTATTAGTTCATCTTTTCGTATGCATTTAAGTTTCTCAAGCTATTTGAAATTTAGAACAATATACAGGCCTAAGCACTTCTTGATTCGGCTGTGTATATTACTCATTGACCTTGATTCATTTGCTAGTGAAATGTATTTACGTTCCTTACCCTATACTGATTTGCTTGAACACCATTAATGCCATGCAGTAGAGCCTTCCTTAAGAATTTTATAGCCAATCAGCTGATTAAGATTTCCGCGTCCACTATGGACCCCAAGATTGTATTATAATGTTTACAAGAACCCCACCAGTTGACCCTGTCCTGAGCCAATAGAATTCAGCCCACATTTCACACCCTGCATCTTTAAAATTAACATTATTGCTGTCTTCAGATCTGAACTCAGTTTTCCAGTTATTCTTGTTTCCCTGGCTTTAAGAAAAAAGCATTTGAGACATTTGTCGTGAAAAATGCTACAGAACATAACAATCAAAAGTCTCCCGTCAAAGGATTCAAATTCGACAAAACTGACCACTTTGATGGTTTCAATATCCGAAATGAAATCCGAAACTTCACTTAAAAGAGGTCACGGCCGATCCGATCTAACCTTCACCGCTCATGAGCTATAATAACTATTCACACAACATAAATTGATAAAAAATCTGTGCCGTATCTAGAAAAAAGCAGAATCTTTCAGATTATTCTAGGTTCGTCTTTTATAAAATGGTCAGTCTTCTGGGAGGTCATTTTATCGGTCATTCTAAGCAAAAAATTGTATAGGCACATGTGTCCTATTCGGAACGGTTTCAGAGATAGAGCTATTTCGCTGTACAGTTCCAAAATTGTTGATGAGAAAGAGATATTATTTACTGTTTCTAATACTTACTTACTTAATTACTTACTTACTTACTTATGGAGCTTCTTGAGGAGAAACCAAATCTGCAGCCACTCAAGAATTTCCCAGTGTTTTATGGAACCCGAAAGTTCATTACCGTGTTCACAAGAGCCCTCCACTGGTCCCTATCCTGACCGAGATCGATCTAATCCATACCATCCCATCCTATCTCGCTTAGATCTATTTTAATATTGTCCACCCACCTACGCCTTGGTCTTCCCAGCAGCCTTCTTGAGAATTTTCGTAACAAGTTTATATTTTAAAGTGAGGAGTTGTTAGCCTCACGCCCGACCCCAAAGCTGGACCCCCAGCCCTTGTCGGCTGTCAGCGACTGCTTATTCAATGTATTCTCAGCTTCCCTCCAAACCTGGAGGGTGTCTCCTCCATCCGCAACCTGAGGACGCGCCATGGCGTGGTGACAGGGACCCACATAACATGGTACTGTTTCTAGTACTGGTATTTATTGTTCAACTAACAAAGCTGGTACAGTTTAACTAATAGAATACTTTTTCAAATATTCCACTTTCAACATCAATGCACTTTGCAACTCGCGTGAGGACATGTCTCGTTGCCTGTCTGAGTGTATCTTGAAGTTCCTGTACCATGTACTGTACATTGGCAGATTTCTATGAAACTTAATATCGGCGTCGTAATACAGCAAGAGAAGCATGATGAAAACTATGTAAAGGGAACATCATACGTCTTTTGTGTTGAAAATGTTATCCATCTTCTACAATGAAGGATTAGGCTTTCTCGCATGTTCTAATTCGGAATTAATTATGACATTTTGACCTTGTAGGTAGTCAGTAGGACTCCTTGGATAAGGGATCAGCCTGAAGCAAGGCCGCTACCTACATAGGACAAAACAGACGCAGAAGAAACACGGACAGACGTCCATGCTTCGAGACGTGTTCGAACCCACGATCTCAGTGCTTGAGCAGGCGAATATATTTGTCATTGCCCTAGGACGCGTAGTCATTGTCATCGGCTGGATACACTGTCATGTTTGCTTTCAAAACACAACGTTTCGGAGACTGGATTCTCTCTCCATCTTCAGGTAAATCATATTCAATTGGGCCCAATCGATAGGGGTCTCCGGAGATAGGCACTAGCTCTATCGATTGGGCCTAAGTAGATTTTCCTGAAGACGGAGAAAGAATATAGTGTCCGAAAGGTTTTGTTTTGAAAAATAATGAGGACGATGTTTCTAGATGAAAAAGATTAATGGATAATGTTCTTGAACATATTATTTGTACTACTGCGCCATTGTCACAAACTTGTAGGTCTTATTTACATCCGTTTCTATTATAAGGTCATTGCTAAAGGAATCACTCATATTTGATTTTGCTTGATTTCATGGCATGTGTGTTATATATATTTTGGCAAATTCTGGAACAATATTTCTCTGGGGTTTAGGATAATTTGCTTCACAGAAGAGGTTCCATACAAACATAGGGGGAAAGTCATCTTAGTGTGATATATCCTATTTTAAGAGTAAAATACTCACCACTGAATTGAAGTATTTGTTCAAATTTCATGAACCGTTAACATAAGAAGCAAAATGAGAAATGTAAAACATCATAATGCTAAAGATTACGGTATTACGTTGGAAACATTATCATTAAAGTGGTATCATATTTAGAGTATTATAACAAGAACGTGTTCCATTCAAACCTCCCACATTTTATCAGATCTTAGAACAGAAAATATGAATGGTAGGCAAATGAAGCTACAGGAAATACAAGAACTCAATTTTTATTTCACATACTAATAAACCTCTTTATGTTCACCATTGGTAGCACGAAGAATATCCAATCTGTATTCAATTTTTTGCCACGTTCTTTCCAATATGTCCATTGGTACAGTAGCAACCGTTTCACGGATGCGGGCTCGTAAATCTGGGAGGTCATTCACTGGAGTCACTAATACACGTTCCATCACGTAACCCCAGGGGATGAAATCGAACGGCGTGAGGTTCGGTGAACGTGGTTGCCACTTGCGGATTTTGCGTTCGCCAGATCCGTACGTTATGCCGATTGACAAACCCTGACAGATGAAATGTGGCCCCGTCTGAAAATAAGATATTTCCAAGTAACTGAGGGCTCCTGTCAATACGATCCAGCATTTCGATAACAAATTCCTGTCGACGCGGCTTGTCTTCTGGCTTCAATTGTTGAACAAGTTGCAATTTTTTTACAGATGTAAACGAAGTCGCTTATGCAGCACTCGATACATTGTTGTTGACGGCACGTAGAATTGTCTTGATGCTTGGCGAATTCATTTCCTCGGGCTTTTCCGAAACCCCGCTTAAATTTCTTCCACTTTTCTCTTCAGAAACACTTCAAAAATATCACAGATTGTTTTAGAACACTTTCAGTAGCCTGAAACTTCTCAAACCATACCTTAATTGTTTTCTTCTCCATACTCTCGTCGGTAATTTCTTTGCAATGAATTTATTGATTTTGTTTCCGCATACCAAACTGCTCTTTGTGCACGCTGCTGTGGAGTCGCCATTTTGTTTCATGCGACCGTGGCACTGCGTAGTGAGCAAGAGATCAACTTCAAAGTCATGAAATAAAATTCTTTTGAGTTTTTCTTTCTTCTAGCGTTAATTATAATCCATAAATTGTAAGAGTTTGTTCGCAGTAATTGATTATAATGTCGGAGGTTTGAAAGGAACACACTGTATTATAAAGAACACTACATCCCACTAACTTATAGTCCGAACTAAGCAAATACACGTATATTGACAGCTTCGGGATGGAATAGAATCGTGGCTTTCATACGATTTTGGAAAGTTTAATGCACTTCGCTCTCCGTAAGAATGTCAGGCTTCTCTGGCCACTCACAAGATTTCAGATATTACGTAACTTTCGGGGTAAGCGTTGCCTTATAGAGGAACACAACACACTTGACTACAAGCTTTAATCATCGGAATAAATAGTTTTTTTGTGCATATCTTCCCATTTTGAGGAGGAAACTTATCCTAACGAAAGAAGTTTAAATTATTAACAATAAAGTTGAAAAGAGAAATAAATTTACTCATCACTTTTTTTAAATTTATTGACAAACTTAGTATGCACTTATGTTCGTAAAGTGCTAAACACTAGGAATTAAAATCAACACTGATTAGAGTACCACGTCGAAGTCATAAGATAACAATAACGAAGGTTTCAAAGACTTCCGAAATCACACGTCACTTTCACTGTTACAAACAAATGTACAAAAATTTACTTCGAAGCTTCAGAACCTTCGAAACACTATACTTTCTCTTTCAACTTTAATCCAGTTTGGAGCAATGTTAACCCCCAAGGAGCAGTGTCACCCCAAGTTACGCAACTGAATTATTTTAACAAAGCGTCAAGATATTGGTATTTTCTGACTGGAAAATTTATTGCCTGACTATTAACTAAAGAACTGATTTACTAACCCTATATTACGAGTAATACAGCCGATCATAGTAGCCACGCGGTCTAAGGCATGAAATATCTTCTCCTGCTCGAAAGCTGTGATCGTGGGTTCGAATCTGAATCAAGGCATGGATGCTTGCATTTGTTCTGTGTTTGTGTACGTAGAGGTCTTGCGTCTGGCCGATTCCGCGTCCAAGTTGTCCTACCGAATAAGATTAAGAAACTGAAATGAAACAAAGCGTTTCACTAATACCTTATGCTCCAAGTGGTAGCAACCGGAATTGATAGATAGATAGATATATAGGTAGGTAGATAGATGGTATTAACACAGCTCTAAGTATAAACAACGCTAATATATCTACGACTTTTACTGGAATATGTCTTCTCTCAATTGCATCCACATCAGAAGCCCTCAACCCATATTCCCTAATGCAGAACCTTATGGTTATTAAATAGTTTTTCAGTAGTATAACTAAATTAACATGAACCTTGTAAGCGTAGGCCAAATTAAGGCATATTATTGCTGATATTACTCGGAATTTTCACACTACAAGTCATTATTAAATAAAGAAAAACTTGCCCTTTTTTTTTTACAATAAGTTGGTGCTTTTTTCTGTCAACAGATATCGCAGGTGCCAATCAGCCTACGTCAACCACCAAGTCATCCAAAGTATCCAAAGGCAGGAAACGTGCTCGAACTGCCTACACTAGTTCACAGCTGTTTGAGATGGAACAGGAATTCCGACATAACAATTACATCTGCCGTCCTAGTCGCATCAGTTTAGCGTCGATCCTAAATTTGTCGGAGCGCCAGATTAAGATATGGTTTCAGAACAGAAGGATGAAGAAGAAGAAGACTGAAATTGGCAGAGGAAATAGAGGAAACTCAAAACCGAAGAGTACTCCAACTTCACGCCGAAATAACCGCACCTCAGCTGTTTCGCCTCCATGTGTTGTAGTCCAACCGCAGTCTGGGATCTTATATCAGCAGCACAGCAATATATTTAGCACCCCGGAACAGAGCAGCTTATCAAGCCCAAATAATTACGATCCATCGCTAAAGAATCCTACGAAATTGCAGTATCATTGCAATATTCCTGCACCGTCTTCGTCTGGTATATTTGGCGGTAATCCTTGTTCTTACAATATCAATCAAGGTTTCACAACAATGCAGCCGTCATCCAATCACAACAGCCACAAACAATATAACAATCAACAGTTCCTCCAGCCTTACGCTTCCAATTCTGTATGTGAATTCCCTCACATCGTATCTGCTCTGCTAGGAGAATTCCCTGCTTCGACTGGTGCATTTGGTAATCCAAAGTACGTAACAGATGAATCTCTCGTAGGCGCAACAGCTCTTTCAAATGCATGCTGGAACAAGGATGAAGCATATCCCTGTACAGCACAAGCACAATATAATTTATCTTCTTCGGATTTAACGGCTAACGTCTGCTATGAGACAAATAAATTTGGTCTGGATGTAAACATGAATATTCAAGCAAGTTCTTCATGTGAGTTGCAACAGCAGATTCACCGTCATGTGTCAGCCTTTACATCTGGTTCGGCTGAACCATTGAAAGAGCAAGAGGATTCCCAGTTTCCGGAGATACAAGTCATGGAGCAGTTGTGTCAGGCAGCTTTGAGAGATGAATATAACCAGCACTCTGTATCCACGGAGGATCCTACTATATTTTCCGGAATTACAGATCAACTTTCTCTTCTCGATTTAGATAATCCACTGGATGAACTAGTCCAAAATGTCGTTCAGAATAACGCAGATGTACAGTCATGCACAAATATACCGTGGAACCTCTCCGATTTATATAACTGTGGTGAGGCTCGGGCTGAGAATATATCGACCTCGTCAACTCCACCAAGATTCTGTCAGCTATAATGGAAGTACCCGCAAAGTCAGTTGTCGACAAAAGTTCATCGCATAGCGTAATTCACTTGCATCTCTAAATTTTATTATTTTAATTTTTAAACTTGCGTTTAATTCAGAATTCTTTTTTAATTCAATTTTAATAACAATTTTATGGAATTTTTCAACATTTAATAGATTAATTTTTTGCGGTCTAGTTTGAAACAATGAAATTAATATTTCATTGTTTCAAACTAGACAGTCTTTACTTTTTGCACTTTGTAGTCATGACAGCTACCCTATTACACTTAATTAACTTCATTTTAATAACAATTTTATGGAATTTTTCAACATTTAATAGATTAATTTTTTGCGGTCTAGTTTGAAACAATGAAATATTGATTTTATTCTAGTTTGAAACAATGAAATATTAATTTCATTGTTTCAAACTAGACCGCAAAAAATTAATCTATTAAATGTTGAAAAATTCCATAAAATTGTTATTACAATTAAGTTAATTAAATGTAATAGGGCAGCTGTCATGACTACAAAGTGCAAAAAGTAAAGACTGTTCCCTTAACTGTGTGAGACAGAAATAAATAATTACGTGTATCATTTCATTATCATATGTTATTTTTGTAAGATGAGAATAAAGGATTTCTCTTCTAAATATTAGTGTGATTGACTTTCCTTGAAACTGTAGCAGACTGTCTCGGATCTATCCACTATATCAGAGCACAGAGAAGTTAATTCATCAATTTATTCCCAAGTATTTCCTTCATCTCAGTCTATCCCCACCATAACCGTGAGTTTGATGCTGATTATTTTACTTTCGTTCTCTGTATTCAACTTAGATCATTGTATCTCTCTCTCTTTTGGTCACTGCATTCTAATAACTTGTTGACGGACAGCATGCAGTATCGTATTTTCACCAAGTCTCCTCAACCCGTTTCGGAACCAGCCTTTTCATTGTTACCGACATGGAAAAAAGAACTATATACCAAGTTCGCCACCTCTTCATTCTTTGGTTAGCAATGACGGGGTACTATGGGTTAGAGAGTTCTGGGCCGGAGGGTGGGTGCAGATTCGGAAAAGCAAGAAGGGATGTCTGTAGCGCACACACAAAAACCCTGTTAAATTCTATTGTATTGTATTCTATATAGGCTTGTTCGAAAAAAAAATAAGGGTTTTGGCATGAGATAGTACAGATCAACTTCTAGGAGAGGGGTAAGTCTCTACAATGAAGAGAAGGGGGAGAGTCCAATATCCCCTTTGCTTTTGGTATCTGCAGGATTACAGAAGGATCTCTCCATCCCTTTCCTATCCTACAATCCACCCTTCAGTACCAGAGTGTAACAGAGATGATGATAGAAAGGATGAAGCTAAAGGGAAAGAATAGAAGGGGGGTGGTTTTAAGAAAGGAGGGGTAGAATTTTTCCCTGGACCATGATTTCCATTCGCCAGTGATCCATCTTGTTTGGGGTGGTGGTGAAACTGACGAAGTCTTGACAGCTGAGTAGGGGAAGAGAATGCTGTAAACGCCATTGATGCGGGCTGTGACGTGTCTGGGACCATAAGCAGCATGGGCAATACCCTTCGAGTACAACATTCCATATGAACATTCCTCACATGAAGCAGTAGGCCTGGCGCGACCCAACGGACTCGCCCTCCGAAGTTCCTGGAGGCGAAGGTTCCAGCTGTGACCAGAACTGTTGGGTACGGGGCTATGAAGTGTACGGTATTCTAGGTTGTTAACGGAGGAAGCCCGACATTTCAGAGGAGAATGTCGTTTCCAGTTTCAGGATTGAAAAGTAAGCCATGTGTGAAGCCAGCGAGCTTGCCGCCTACTTCTCTTGGTTTCTTGGTTAGCAATGAGCAGTAAGGAGACGCACTCCACCGAAAGTCGGGCTCTCTCCGAACTACATGGCATTAAAATCCAGAAGGCCACATTTTCAAATTTACACAACTGTCAGTGCAAGGGCTACATAAAACGAACGATGAGTACAACCTGTTCAGTCACCAGTTTCTTCAAGAACAATTGTCCCAGCCATTGGTAGAAATTTTCATGACGCACAACTTTACTTGAAGCATAAGCTACATTTCCAGTAAGAAAAAGATATTGAAACAGAAAAAAATATATATTATTAACGCAATACTTTATATAATGTTCTGCATTTTACGTGCGTTCTTTGCACAATGAGAATAAATGAATATATTGTCACGTATCCTGGTAATGAGATGTAATTAATGGATTCCGGATTAGATGAATCGATTTATTGGATATTCACCAGGCGTAACTACAATTAGTTGTAACACAATCTTACTGTAACTATAACACTTTGTAACTACAAACAATGATCACACTCTAAAGGTTACTGTAACTACACCACATAAAATAAAGACTTCATTTCTGACTTCTCTTTCTTCTGTTGTATTCTCTTCCCTGGATTCTCATCTTCAGTAATCTCTCGTAATCTTCCTGCAATTTACTTAGGTAGCTCTTCGCGTACCGAATAGAAAATACTAACCCGAACAGCTGATTTCTCTGTTGTCATGATAACGTCCTTTCCATTGTTGTGAGAACAATGTTTACCTAGCCGTTGTAACGAAAAACTATTTCTGTATCCTTTATCTATGAGATTTCTCCAACAGTTCCTCTGTGCGTCCAAGAAACCCTTTCCTTACAGCACACTCTTGAGTTCTGAAAACAGCCAGAAGTCAGCTGAAGCCAAGTTAGAAGAATATGGCGGATGATCCATGGCGGAGATGCTTTTCCTGCTGAAAACTGCTACACCCGAAGCGAGGAACGTGCCGGCGCCTTGTCGTGTTGAAGAAACAACGATTGATCTCTTCACAGCTCCACTTGCTTGCGCCTCACAGCATCAAGAAGCCTTTTCAACATCTCCACGTAAAATGTTTGATTAACAGTGGTCTCTTCGGGTAAAAATTTAAAGTGGATGATACACCTGACGTCGAAAAGCATATGAATAGTCTTTTGATCTTGATATTTGACATCTGCGGCTTCTTTGTTCTGGGGGAATTTCTTCGGTCTCCACTTCATGAACTGGCGTTCGGACTCAGGATCAAGTAAGTAGTTGGTTGTGTGGATGGAAGTTGGATGCAGCTGGCTGAGGATCATCATATGGTATTTTTTGGGTTTAAGTACGCTAAATATTTGGTTCTTACTGTAGAAGAGTTAGTTTTTTAACATTTTATCAACTGTGTATTGTAAACGAGAAAACAGGTAATAAAAAATGAAGATCTGCATTAGTTATGTAAACTAATATTCTTATTTTATCAGGATATTACTTTAATTCTAGAAAGAAATATTCCAGATTGATTTATTTGTTCGTCTTAGAAGAAGAGTTTTAGAAAACGATCATACCTGTACGCACTTCTCAATAAGGCTACTCCAAGGGGAATTCAGAGTTTGGGGATCGCTTTTATGTACGGCCCTCATTTCAATAAAATGTTCAACCGTAGTCCCTTGGGTTTCTCTGGATGAGCCAAATGAACTCCGTGTTTTTTTAATCTGCGTGTGGACTGATCTTGTATTCACCAGGTGAGGCCGCATATGAAACGGAAATGTGACGCCACGGTAGTCACGTGCAGACGTCACCTGGCTAAAACGCTTTTTTATACGTCACAGTTCTTCCTGCAGGAATGATCCAAGCGCCATATTTTACCAGTTAATATTTATATATGTGTAGGCGTGATTCCAATGATATACGCCCATTTTCCACATTATTTAGTTGCCCGAAATGAATATTTTTTAATTATTTGTAATTTTGATTTAAACATAAAAGAGACACATTTTGAAATAAAGTTGAATAGTCACGCCAAACTATATTACTTATTCTGAAGGCATTCTGTCTGATGTGTAAGTAAGGGCCTACGGCCGTAATATCAGTCTTAAATAATTCGCCCTTCTTCGCGTAGTTTCGGCTTAACAGGCACTTGAAGACTGATTCATCTATTCTTGATTTGTTGACTCACACTTTCCTATTACCTGAGAGGCCACTAAGAAGACCTATAAATAGTTGGGAGAGTAATGTTAAAATTAATCTTAGAGAATAGGAATGCGTGGTATAAACTGGAATAATCTGGCTCAGATGGGAATCAGTGTTAATGAACCTTAGGATTCTATAAAACATTGAAAACATTTTTAGTGACTGAGTTAATGTTGGTTTTTAAAGAAGGACCCAGTTCCATGGGCTTAGTTAATCGGTTAATCTCATTTGAGGAGATATCCTGATATCTGCCGGCAGATATTTGATCCCGTGATATACCGTTGTGTTCTCTTGACTGAGGAGTTCGGATTAATGGCTGAAAATCGTGGCTTCCGTGGAATATATTTCGTATCCAGACACGAATTCGAGTGGACACTAATGCTGTACACAGTTTAGTGAGACACTAACTTTTGGGCCAGAGGCCAGAGGCCACTAAAATGGAAGAAATTCCATGGGTTTTATGAAACTCGAAAATTCATTACCGTGTTCATAAGAGCTGACCACTGGACTCTCCTAAGTTTGATGAATCCAGTCAACATTCCGAATAACCCGCTTTTTTAATATACAAATATATATTGAGATATCCTGTTGTTCTTCTATTCCAGGAGGTCTCTACCTTCCTGGGTTTGCGTCTAAAATTTTGTATTTAATTTTTCATCTATCCCATTATTTCATCGATTTTGACTAATACACCAGTAAATATTATTTCAATGACACTTCCAGCTCATTCAGGACCAAGGCCTCTTATTCAATTCCTTAATCCTTTTTCACAGACTGTAGGACTCCTTGTAGATCAGCCCATTGCAACGCCTCTATCTAAACATAGGACAATACAAACACAAAATACATGCATACAGACATCCATCCCTTGAGTGGGATTCGAACCCACGATCCCAGCGTTCGAGCGAGCGAAGAGAGTTCATGCCTTAGACTGCTCGGCTGCTGTGACCGGCTACACGAGTAACTATACTCTAAGAAATCTTAACCTGTTCCAATATTTTAAGCTGCTCTCTGATTTACTGTCACTTCACGTAAATTCTGCGATATTTCCCAAAAACGGAGCGCCAATCTCTAGGTAATAATTGTCGCATTCTAACACAAAACCTGTAGTGCGTACAAGTTGAAAC